ACGGCAATTAATAGGATCAGTTCGTTTTCTCTCATTTATTTAAATATTTATTACTCATATTTTGACTCTACGAAATACCGATTTCGAGCGTTCTCCAATATTTTATGTTGTACAATTTATGAGCCGATTGAACAAAAGTATTTGAAGAAATACAGAAATAAGAATACACGATTACAAATGAAATATCTTATATCTACGTCATAGTAGTATTTCATTTAATCAAATTCTCTGTGTTGATTGTATTCGTTGTAATTGCATACTTATTTTTATTATTGTTATTTTCGATCTAACTTATGTTTTACTATGTAATGCGTTATAACAAAATATCAATCTAACAGACAAACTAATCTTAACCTTACAGAAGATTAACAATCGATGAATCATTATTTTTCGTTCTTTGAAATGATCTTTACATCATAGATGTTCTTGTTTTTATTAATAGAGTTAAGAAAAAAATATACGAATAGAACTTATATTTAATTTTATGACGCAACAATATCATCATCATCATCATTAGTTTTTTTCTGTAGATGATATAAATTGTTTGTTTCCATCAATTGACGACTTCGAAGAAATCGGTATTATATGACTAATATTTTTAAAATAATGTTCTATTCCAGGAAACTCCTTGTGTGGTGCATCATTACAACAAGTATACATTACATGATCACTTTTAGGTGGTTCTTCAAGTACGGATGGTGGTTGCGGACTTTGTTCTTCCGATACGGATGATGGTTTACGAGCTTGTTCTTCCTGTACAGGCGTTGGTTCACGACTTCGTTCTTTCAGTACGGGTGAGGGTTTACGACTTTGTTCTTTGTTATTCTCAACAACATCTGATGTTTTATCATCTTTTGTAGGAAGAACGACTAAAAAAGAAATAATATCGTTATATTGAAAAACAATTTAAATCAGTACTTGGTAGATTCGGTGGAGGTAGTTCATTTGTCACAGTGATAAATTCAGTTTCTTGATTATCAGAAGAACCTTGCCTAGGAACAGTAAATTCCATAAGATCAGATCGATACGTTTCTTTCCCATCTGAAAAAAGAAGAATAAAAGTAAAAGAACATTTTACAAAAGAATCAATGAACATACTAAGTAATTTTGCTACTAATTGAAAAGTATGACTTTTACCACTTTCAAATCCTTTGATACAAATATGGAATTCATCTTCGATTTGTTTTTGACGTATCTAAAGAAATTCCCAAATTTTCTCCTAGTTTTTGTTCTCTAGAATTAATAAATATACATATTGAATATCTACATCATCTAAATACATAATATATTTGTAAGCAATTTTATCTCCAAGATGAAACCATTTAACAATAAGATTTGCTTTAGAATTTTCTTCCTTATCCGGCCATGTAAAACTTATCGTTGGACTCAAAGCAAAAACTTCACCGGTAAAATGAAAATACTAAAAAGAATAAGAATTTATTTAGAAATCGATTCTATTTAAGAAAATAAAATATACACAGTTTTTAGATAATTTTGGTTCATGTGACCATTTTGTATTATGCGGTATGGCTTCGACGTAAGCTGATGGATCCTTTGTATTTGTATTAAAACCTGATGCTGCTATAGAATCATAGCTAACATGAAAGTCTATTTTAGTTCTTTTATTAACGACTAACTATTACAAAAAAAATAAAACATTTAAATACTAGAATAATTTATAATTACTTACAATAAATTTTTTGATAAGTCTACGAGATGATTCAGGTATAACTTTAACAATTCCATAAATTTTATTGTCTGGAAACTTAAAAGCTTCGAGATGAAAATCAATTACAAGGTCGTTCCATAATTTTTCATTTATCTAAAATAATTTCTTATTCGATACAAATGATACTAGTTTTAACTTACTTGATCATTTTGTTTTTTATTTGATGAACTACATCATAAAACAAAACATACGACATTCTAAATGATATATATGTATCCTACCGTGACTGATCAGAATCGGACATATTTACTTATTCTAATAAATATCTATCTTAAGTATAAAATTTGATTACAACTATATTTTTACTTTTGTGTTTTGTCCTTGACAACTATGGTAGAATGATGCGACCTCTTTCAAGAAAACAGTAAGGATGAGAATTTTTTTCTTCATTATTTTATCTACTCTTTTCTGTGAACTCGTAATTTACTTCTCCTTTATATTTATTTTCACAGAAAGAAAGAATATAGCAACGGGTTACTACACAAACCATAAATGTCTATATATATTAAAACAAAACCATATAAAAAAGAAAGAGAAATTCTAAAATTTTCATATCGACATTGTAGTTGGTAATTATTCATCTTAATAAACACAAACTTATTTGAATTGGCAATGAGCAAGAATCCACCACGTAAATTAGATCCGGTATCACATAAATTCTTTTTATTTAAGTTGAAAAATTGAATGAAATCTTTTGTTTTATTTAGATGAATAAGGAAAAATCCACAAATGTTTTTAATGAACTAAATATTCGTTATCGTGTTTGCTTCAAATTTGGCCGTAAAGAAAGGTTTTTTTCCATTTAGAAAATAATGAAAATTCTATTTTATTGTTTTGTTCACTATTAGTGAAGTAGGAAAAGATGTTTGTGTATGTAATAATCCACGAAGAAGTCGTGAAGAGACAGAAAAAGTTTGTGGATTATGTAACAAGCCACGCAGTGATCATGACAAGGAAGAAGATATTTGTGTATGTAATAAGCGACGAGGAAGTCACAAAGATAAAAGTTATTCCGATTCAGAAGGTGTTGCATGGGCTATGGAGCGAAATACTAAAGAAATAACAAAGCCTGAGCACGGTATACTTCCAAATGGTGCATTGGTATAATTAAATATTTTATATTTGTTAAGTTAATAATCATTTACATATTTATAGTATTTACGACTTGCTTTGGATACACCGGTAGCAAAAGTTGAAAAACTTCTTTCTGAAGTATGGGAGATCAAAAAACCTCGACTAATTATGTCAATTATTGGAGGTGCAAAATATTTCACGTTAAGTGATCGGCTTGAATCCAATTTTATGAATGGTATTATTGAAGTTGCACTTAAATCAGGTAAAAGAACCAATACAAATTTTAATTTTCTTTATTTCTTTCTCTTTGAGCATAGATGCATGGCTAATTACAAATGGATATAACGTTGGTATTGTTCAACTTGTTGGACAAGCAATTAATAAAGTTAAATTTACGAAATTAGACAAACATATTACAGCTATCGGGCTTTGTAAATATGGAAGTATAAAAGATGTAGAAACACTTATAAAGTCAGATAAGGTAAATAATTAAGTTTGATTTATCTTGAAAAATAATTCATAAATTTGAAAATTTAATTTTTATTCAGCAACAAACGAAAAAACCTGATGAAGAGCGGAACAGTGGTACAGAAAAAAAACGTGAAAGTGGTGAACATGATCTGGAAATGAACCATAGTCATTATTTGATGTTAGATGATGGAAGCTTTCGATTTTATAGTACAGAAGATTACCGAACACAATTATGTGTTCACTTAGCAAAACTACACCATGAAACTGATTTTCCTCGTAAGTTTTAGTAGTTTAAATATGCTTTGCTTTTATCCAATAACGATGTACTTTTATAATTGTTGTTGAATTTGCGCTAACAAATAAGGCAGAAGAATTTCACTTAGAGGTTAATGTAAGATGTACGCTGCTACTTTTATTCTCACAATTGAATGCTTACAAAAAAATTTTAAATAAACATCTATCAAAAAATAACGGCGTGTACGGCATCTCTCGATAGAGCATCTAGAAGGTTGAAAAACGTTGTTTGTATAGTATTCTAATGTGAAATTATAACAACTGATAGGTATAATTATCGTGCTTAACTCTTTCCGATCGGATGTTGCTATATGGCACCATTTCTCTGTAGAGGATTACGGTATTTTTTCGAATAGACAACGGGAAATGATTAGTTGATGAAATTTACAAATCATCATATTAATCTCGTCTTTTATATATAGGCAAGGCTAGAAATAGATTATTATAAAATAACAGGAGATAAACCAGAATTGACATTGAAAACTTCCAAAGCACTGAGAGTTTAATACTAATATTATAATTCGTAAGACTCAATATTAATAGTCGCAAGACATAAAATCTTTCAATACAATTTACACTATAATGAATATCGTACTAACGAAACATATTCGGTCAGAACAAAATGAGACAGTCAGTAATTACTAGAGCAGGTATTAATTTTATGAGATAGTATAAATGACTTACTCATATTACTGTGATTCTGCGTGTGAAAAACAATTTTCGAGTTAGGAATATAAAATTTCGATTTTATCAAAGAAGTTTAGGTCTTCCCACGATGATAACACTAGAATGAAACATTGACGACTTCCAAATGTTCATATTTTTGACTGAAACAATATTCTCGAAAAGTTGTCTCTTACTATTAGCTTTCAATGTCGAAGTAAAATCTTGTAAGAAATCAATATTGTACGTCTGAAGCGCACTCTTAATACCTTTCATTAAGCTGTATTCTATCTGAAGCTGATTGTTGTTTTCACAAATATGTCATTCGTTTTCCCTGTAATTCATAACGATGTTTACAGCACTTCGTAGATAATCTTCATAGTAATCATATATTACTCAAATCATGTTGAGTTTTGACTCTTAAGTAGAATTAGAATTTAATTCGGCAGACTCTAGTCCTTGCAAATTAATTAAAATTTATAACAAGAGTTGACACTATTTAATACAAAGATTTAGTTCTTCATTATTTTGTCTCTATTTATAGTTCCTGTTGTTACTATTGTGGTTGAAGGTGGCAGAGATACGATAAGAAATATATATTATGATTTACGTGATAACATCCCTGTTATTATCATTGATGTAAGTAGAACAAACAAAATCTTTCATGTAATTATACCATTATCTAAATAGGGCAGTGGCCGTGTTGCTGACTTTTTCAAACTTTGGTTATTATATACAAAAGAATTCGATGAAGCAAGTAAACATGCTCAATATCCATATGAAATTGGTGAAATTGATAAAGCAACTCCAGTTAAAGCTTTTTCAGCAACAACTGATGATACAAATAGTTCAAAAACAGGGTAAAAATTTAATATTAAATTAGTTGTTTTTATATTTAAATTATGTAATCATTTTAGTACTCATACATATTTTGAAGTTCAACTTGATGCATCTCGCAATACGTAAATAAATCAATGTTTATTTCATTATCTAGAATTATTTTGTATGATTTTTATCTAAAGGCTCAAGGGAATGTTTGAAAGTTATGATGAACGACTTAGAAAAGATCTTCAGTTTCTACTATCACGTAATGATCCTAGTAAAGGAAAGAAGTCAAATGATACATCAAACAATAATTCAAAAGATGCAAAATCAATTAAATTCAATAAAATAGTTCAACAAGTTATGTATTGTCTTCAACCTGCTGTTCGTTCTGGTATAGCTGTATTCAATTTGAATTCAGATGATAATTTATCTGAAACTATTTTTCGTACTGTTTGTAAATGTAAGTTGATTTTACAATACTAGATTTTCTTTTTGTTAATTTAATTTATTTCAGCACGTCAAAAATACTTTGAAAGAAAAGAAAGTGATCAAAATGAAACAATGGAAAGGTCTCTACGAAAATCTAAACCACAACCAACTCCATATGTTAAACAACATCATGCAGACTCACGTCACGATGTTAATCGAAGAGATCAAAATGCACAACGATCACAATTATTACAGTTAGCGATGGATTGGGATTGTATTAATGTTGCAAAAGAATTAATTCTTCAAAACTCATTAGATAATATTCTAGTAAGAGTGAGTGATTTCTAAAGAATAGATAAATAAACTGATTTGTTAGTAACATAACTTATCAGAATTGAAACATACATATATTAAGATGTTAAAATATTTCTAGGAGTAATTCTTTTATGTTATATATGTGAAATTACTTTAAATATTCTAAAGAAACTGACAATAGTGACATGACTTTATAAAAAATATTGGTCTTTACTTTATGTGATTTAGTTTAAAACAAAGGGGAAAGCGCGTAATCATGAATTCCAGGGGTTCTTTATGATTTTCGAGAAGTGTCCAGTATTCATTTGAAATCTATAAAATTATCTCGTATTTCCTAGAACCGTTCGAGATTTTCAATCAGCTTCTGACACTACCCAAAAATATCAACTGTGTCACAACAGATCTTCTTTTATACTCAGCTAAATTAAACAAAAATGTTACACATTCAAACGATGATTAGTTTTCTTTAAATACTCAGATAAGTAAATTTTACGTAGAAAATATTTTATATTCCTGTTCTCAATCATTTTATTAATTTTTCTTATGTTTGAATAATATTATATCGATGTTGTTTTTTCTTTCGTCTAGAACAAAGAAGAAGCTTTTGTGAATGCTTTAACAATAGATTTGCCACAATTTATTTATGAATTTCTTAAATTGGGTATTGATCTAAGTGAAATATTCTTTGAAAATGATGCATTCTCTGGCTCAGAAAACCGATATAAAAAATTTCTTGAATGTTTGTACAACGATGACGCTGTGGTAATATATATTTACAAATTAAAAAAGATATTTATGTGTTATATATTTATAGAATAGTCATAAAACTCAATTAAGTGCATTTATTGAATCGGATGATGCTGTTAGAAAACAGATTCATACAACTGATGATTTAAATGATGTTCTTGCTACATTGATTGGTGATTATATGCATAAATTATACTTTGATTCAAATAAAGATGTGAGCGAATATCGAGAGTCATGGGGTTTACTAGAACAAAATATACACCAAAATATAGAACAAAATCAAATGAATGCTCAAAATCCTGACCACCACGTTAAACCAAATAAAGAAATAGTTTTTGATACTATAATGCGAGATTTATTTATATGGGCAATACTTATGAATCATACCGAAATGGCTCAAGTCTTTTTAAGTCACATGAAATATCGAATATGTGCTGCACTGATTGCAACAAAAATATTAAAACAATATTTTCAGAAAGCGCCATATGGTGACTTAAAAGATAGTTATGAGAAAAATGCAAAATATTTTGAAGAATATGCTATTGCATGTATCAAACAATGCGAAAAAAATGATACTGATCTAGCATGTGAAATTGTTCTGCAACGAATAGAACTATATGGAAATGTGACTTGTCTTCAAGTATGTTAAATGGTTTTGTTTGTCTCTGAAAAAAAATGATTTTTCTTGAAATTTATATATTTCAGGTTGCTGCTGATGCCCAAGATAAATTATTTATTGCAACACCATGTTGTGTTCAAGCTATGAATAATATATGGTATAATAATATTTACCCTGAACAATCAAAGAAACGAAATGAACTAGCTATGGCTATTGGAGTTTTTACACTTGGTCTTCTGGCACCATTTTGTGTCACTTTTCGAGATCCTCCAACGGTTAGAATTTCTTATTGTTTCAATCTTTACACTATTAAATAGATATAAAATGAAATTTTAGCTACAACTCTAGGATATAGTAGATGATGTTTTATAAGGCTTCACTGAAAGTATAATCATGGGAATATCAGAAATGACGATCTATATTAGTTTAAATCGATTTCATTTATCTTTTTAGTTATTCGGAATTATTAATGTAATATTATTTTCACTGAGATGAGAAGTACAACCAGAAATGGTTCTACGTAATTATAGCTTTCCTCTAAAATAGATTCGTATTCTATATAGTAACTGAATATAAATCATATGTATACAGTCTCTAGTCTCTTTTGTTATTTTACAGATTGAAATACTTGACAAATATGTTGTTTGTATATAAATCTCATGGCAGATAGCTATTCTAACATGCACAGGAAAGTTCATTCATGAAGATTAGCACAAAGATATGAACAAATCAGTTTCATATCACATATCGAATAACAGACTGTCACTCTTTAGTTCATGAGTGTGTGAAAGATTTCAGATTAGAGAAAAACAATGTAAGACAGTATTTACGAAAAAGTCTTGCACGAATAAAAAGGAAATTTACTCGTTCTGAGCAAAATAAAAAGTTTATCACCGACTATCATCAGTGGTATTAACACAATTTTTAACAAAAACGCAAGCTCCTACTTTCGACAGATATTCATCATATTTTTGACTTGAATTCTAAGAAATATGAACGAATACAAAAATATTATTACTATCTATTAATTAACAAGATTTTATTTTCATTTTAATAAGGAAGTAATCAACGAAAAACCTGAAAAATCGTACGTATTCTGAACTAAAAATTCCAGTATAAAAATAGTATACTATATTTAGTTTTCAACCTTATGGCATACATTATTCCGATCCTTATGCAACACCATTTCGGCGATATACTAAATATTTTGCAATAAATAATTATGTGCATCATATAAAAAATTTTCATCGAGCTTTACGCATGAAATATTGTTACCATTGTGTATGTATATATATATATATATTATCATTTAACATAAAATCTATATTATTTCTTTTTAGTTAAATTATTGTTTTTTTCTACTACTATTTTCGTATGTACTTTTATTTAACTTTCAACCACCAACTTCTTCAATGCCATGTATCCATTGGACTGAAATCTTGACAATTATACTTGTTTCAATAATGTTAATTGAAGAAATTCATTATGTAAGATAATAAAATCTATACAAAATAATATTTAACATTTTCTTTTTTTCGTTTTATAGTTTGTTAGCCAAGATAGTATAACAGTATCTGGGAAAATTGAAAGCTATTTTAGGGATTTATTTAAAATTATGACTCTGATTGGATTTATACTTTTTTATACTGGATTAATTCTACGATTTACTCATGCAGATAATGAGAATGAATTTGTCGCAGCTAGGTAAGATGATTTTTCTGATAAATCGAATATTATTTATCAAAAGAAAATATACGTCAAACGTTTTGCCGTAAATGGATTGTTTTTTTGAGAACATAACGATGGCAGAATATTTATTCTGTACTACTAATCAAAAGGATAAACAATAGAAGAGAGTTTATATATTGATCGTTGTGCTGTTTTAACGGATCTTTTATCTTTTTGACTATTGCATAATATTTGTTGTTATCTAGAATATATGATGTTTACTTTGAGTATCCAAGTGACAGACAATAATAAGCTCTGTATTGTTTGATAATAATATTAGATCAGAATCATTGTAATCGAAACTTCAGAGATAAGCAGATGACAAAGCATTTAATGATCTTCACAAACTCTTCTTTTCTGTTTGTCTGTGAACGAAGGAAGTAGTTAACTGTTTTCAGACTCACAGCAAGTCTGTCAAAGCTAACAAAAAAGAAGTAGATGAATGCTGATACTGATATCACATTCAATTTATTCTAAACTTATGAGTTTCTTTTTCAATAATTTATCTGTATAAAAAATAAACTTCATAACATATACTTCTGATTTATATATATTCTTTTTATTTAATTGTATTTATTCAGGGTAGTATGGGCTATTGATGTTGAACTGTGGTGGCTTCGTTCTTTAGCATTTATTATTGTTATACCATCTCTTGGACCTCATTTGGTGGCTATTGGAAAGATGGTATACATATATTTTTCTTTTT